TTTAGCATCTCTAAGTTGGAGAGCAAGTTTCAGAGTTTCTTCTGACGTTCATTTTGGTCTTTTCCTTCTTTCTTGTCTTAATTACCTTTTGCTTTCTTTCTGTATGTTGTTCTTAATGCTATCCCAAACTCTTCAGGTCTTCCATCTTTAGGGTCTAATGCATCAAATCTGTTCTTGAGATGATCTCTAAATTCAGGTGGGGTATGTTCAAAGTCATATTTTGGCTCTCAAGCAGTTGCTTTAATTTTCTTCAGATTCAGCCTGAACCTGCATATGAGCAATTGATAGTCTGTTCCACAGTGTGCCACTGGCCTTGTTTTGGCTAATGCATGGAGTTTTTCCACTGTCTCTTTCCACAGATGTAGCCAATTTGATTTCTGTGGATTCCATCTGGTGAGGTCCATCTGCATAGTTGTCTTTTATGTTGTTTAATAAAAAAGGTATTTACAAGAGTAAATGCAATGCAAGTCACTGGTCTTGCAAAGCTCTATCATGTGATCTCCAGTATCATATCTGTCACCATGGCCATATTTTCCAACTCCTGATCCTTCCTCTGATTCCAACCTTTGCATTCCAATCGCCAGTAATTATCAATACATTTTGATTGTATGTTTGAACAATTTCAGACTGAAGAAGTTGGTTGTTGTTGTTAAGTACTGTTGAGTTGGTTCTGACTCATAGCAGCTGTGGGTTTGAACTGCCTACCTTGTGGTTCGCAGTCCAGTGCTGATCTTAAAGCGCCTCACAAGGAGTTCGATATATCTTGACTGTGTGTTTGATCAATTTCACAATGATAAAGTTGGTAGAATTCTTCAATTTCATCACCACAGGTTTTAGTGGTACCATCTCACAGTGACTCACTGTTATTTATAAGTTTTCAGTGACTAAATATTCGGAAGTAGTCCGTGTCTCCTTCTTCATAGTGTTTCTTCGTCTAGAAGCTCAGCGGAAACCTGTCTACCATGAGTGACCCTGCTGGTATTTAAAATACTGGTGGCATAGCTTCCAGAATCACAAACACACAAGCCATCATAGTACAACACACCAGTACAACACAATGACAGATAAGTGGTGGTCAATAGTAGTAAGGTATTTTTTGGTTAGTTGATGTAATGTGGCATCTCATTGTAATGTCTTATCATTTTCCTAAATGATACATAAATGGTTTTTTGTTGTTTTTTTAAAAAGAGGAGATTCTCATCTAATATCATCCATGATTCAATATGGAGTCCTGGTGTGGCTCCGTAGGAAAAGCACTGGACAGGCAAACACAAAGTTGGTGGTTCAAACCCACCAGCTGCTACTCAGAAACCCTTTACACGGTGGGAATGAGCTGGAGCCAACTAGATGGTACTTACCAACAAAGTGATAACAAACCTTTTCTGCTCTGCCAAATGATCTCTATTACAACTACTAAACTCTACTGTGATAGTACAATGGTGGTGGTGGTGTGCTGGTGTGTCAGTTCTGACACTATATAGGGAGGGTTTCCAAGGCTGCAAATCTTTATGGGGGCAGAAAACCTCACCTTTCTCCCATGGAGTGACTGGTAGATTCAAACTGCTGACCTTGTGGTTAGCAGTCCAGTAATAGTACAATAGCAGCAGTAAATAGTAAGTAAACAAATGAGCATGGCTGTGTTCCACTTAAACTTTACCGAAAAAGGTGGCAGGCTAGATTTGTCCCACTAGCTGTAGCTTGCTGGTCCCAACAATGTTGTTGTTGTTTGCCAATGAGTTGGTTCCAACTCATGGTTGGAACCCTGTAACCTTGTAAAGGGTTTCTGAGAGCTAGTGGTGTGTTACAACAGATGATCTTGTTACCAAGTTCAGTGCTTATCCTACAGTGCCACACCAGATCCCAGCAACAATTTATTAGAAAATCACTACGATCATCACACTTCAGAAACACTCTACAATGACAATGTTATACTTAAGGAAAATGTTACCTCCACATCAACCTTTCGGGTTATTTCTGGAATCTGCCACTGATTGGAAGATGCAGCAGGATTTTGGTTTGCACATTCTGGCTTCCTTTTAGATTGCCACTGTTTCTGGTTACTTTCTGGAATCTTTGTGTTTCCAGGTTCTTTAGTTTCTGAAATTGTGTAAGTTGTTATTAAAAGGGAAGAATAGTATTTGACAAAAATTAAGTGAAACCTAAACAACAGAATATGTTACAAATCACTCTAAAAACAAAAAAAATTAAAAGCCTTAGGTCAAATGCTCAGGCCATTAGTCAATTTTATAAATTTGCAATATAATCATCACCTTCCTAAATTCTTATCTATTGCTTTGTCATAGACTATTCTGAATTTGAATGCCCTAGTCGCTACCAGTACAAAAGTAAAAACTTCATATGTTATAAAGTTTTACTAATCAATTTTCATAGACCTCTAGAGTTTTAACATAAGATGCTACCCTATATGAAGCTGTAATTTACCCCGAAGAATCTACGAATAAGAGCCTCAATAATATATTTAATACTCTGTGAATATTAACATTGTATCTTGCTGTTTTGTTTATAGATACATAACTCCTAAATAAAATATTGCTGCTGTTGTTGTTAAGTGCCACTGAGTTGGCGCCAACTCATTGTGACCCTGTATAGGGATTCCGAAGCTGTGTATATTTGCAGAAGCAGATCTTTTTCCTGCAAAGCAGGTAATGGGCTCAAACTCAGACCTGTGGTTTGTAGTTCAGTGCTCATCCTACAGATGCATAATACTCCAAGAAAACATTAGCAAGTGACATAAAAAAGGACAATAAATTACCCTCAAGTGACTTGATATCTAAATATAAAATTGGCTTAACATGAAATCAATGTATTTAACCATAACAGAAGAAAATTAACTCAATACATACATACAGAAAAAAATATTTGATAAAACTCAACATTCAACCACAAAAAAATAAGAAAACAAAACCCAAACTATTAGTAATCTAGGTATACAACAGAACTCATTCAATAAAGAAAAGCTACAAAAACCTATAGCAATAATCATACTAAGTATAAAATGTTAAAAGCATTCTCCTTAAAATGAGTATTCAGACAATAATGTCATGTTATCATTTCTTCTGTTCATCATTATGCTGAAGGTCTTAGTAAGTACAATATGATTAAGAAAAGAGAGGAAAGTTACTAGGATTAGAAAAAATATATAAGCTGTATTAACCTTAATCAAGCTGTGTACACAGAGAAATCCAGAGACAACTGGACACCTGTTAAGAGTTACATCTGTAAATCTAGCAATGTTACTGTGTCTAAGAACAATATCTAATAACCAATTATATTTGTATGCACCAGCAACAAACAAGTAGAGGTCACATAAAGGGGGAAGGGAGGCAAAGAGTGGATAATATTTATTATCTAATAATAAAAAAATCATAAATCTCATATACGATGCACAATATCTCTGGATAGAAAACCACCAACTATGTTTTAAAGACTACTTAAATGGAGGGATACATGTGCATCGTTTGGGACACTAATTGTAAAGGCATCAATTCTTCCCAAATGTTTTATAAATTCAATTAAGATCTCTATCAAGATTCCATTTTTAAGTGAAAACTGACAGATGCTTACAAGGAAATTAAAAAGGACCATTGTTATTGTTAATGTTAGGTGCCACTGACTCAGTTCCAACTCATTTCAATCCTGTATATAACAGAACAAAACAATCCCAGGTCCTGAGTCATCCTATCTTGTGATGTTTGAGCCCAGTGCTACAACCACTGTATCAACCCATTTCATTAGTGGTCTTCCTCTTTTTCACTGACCCTCTATTTTGCCAAGAATGATGTCCTTATCCAGGGACTGGTCCCAACTGATATGTCTAAAGTATGTGAAATGATCCTAACTTCCATGGAGCATTTTGATTCCACTTCTTAGATTTATTTGTTTTTTCGTAATCCATGGTACTTTCGCCAATACCATAATCCAAATGCACTGAATTTTTTCTAATCTTCCTTATTCATTATCCAGCTTTCATATGCATATAAGGCAACAGAAAATATTATGGCTTAGGTAAGGCACATCTTACTCCTCAAACTGGTATCTTTGATTCTGTATACTTTAATAAGGGCTTGTGCAGCAGATGTACCTAATACAAAAATTTTATTAAAAAAACTGAATTGTGAATTGAGTGAAGGTTTATAGACAAGATAATCAGCTTTACATTCATCAAATCATACAGTTTTATCTAATGACTACAATCCTCTCCATGTAAGTTATCCCACTTCCACACTGTGGTTCCTATTTCCATCCCACATACCTTCTTTTCCTTTCTCAACTTTGTTGTTAGGTGCCATCGAGTCAGCATTGACTCACAGTGACCTAAGTACAACAGAATGAAACACTGCCTGGTACTGGGCCAACCTCACAATCATTGTTATGCTTGAGTGCACTGAGGCCACTGTGCCAATCCATCTTGCTGGGTGTCTTCCTCTTTTTCTTTGACCTTCCACTTTACCAAACATGATATCCTTCTCCAGTGACTAGTCCCTCCTAACAATATGTTTGAAGCATGAAAGATGAAGTTTGGCTATCCTGGCTTCCAAGAAGCACTCTGGCTATACTTCTTCCAACACAGATCTGTTTGTTTGTTTGGCAGTCCATGGTACTGTGAATATTCTTCTCCAACACCCATAACCATAGAAGCACCAGTGCGTCTATGGTTCTCACCTTTGCCCTTAGAAGTTGCCCTTCTGATTCTGAATGACTGAGCAGTCCATGGTAAACATACCTTACTAAGGTTATTGTCCCCCTAAATACCTATGTACTACTTGGCTAACAATTGGGCCACTGAAGAGTGGTTGAGGTCAAAGTCTCAGGTTCCTCTATACTCTTTCTGACCAGTAAGTCCAGTTCTTTTTTTTTTTTTTTAAATAATTTTGAGTTTTGTCCAAAATTGTTTCGTCATATGGAGAGACCAATAGAACTGAACCTTAAACAGCCATTCACGAGCTTTGGAGATCCCACATGCTACCCATCCAAGCATGATGTAGAAGATTCTTTGTGGACTATGTCAATTGACTAGGGTGTCTCCTGAGACTATGGTCCTGAAGCCCCAAGCCCAGGAAATCATTGCCTTAAAATGTTTGCTAATATCGAAGAAGTCTTCATAATTTTGCCTGCTGTATGCTCCATCGCATTTATAGTTGTGTTTGCAGGAAAGGTAATAACCTATTTACAAACATCTTCTTTCAAACTCTTATACTCCTACTCTTCCTCCCATATTCATTCAGCCTGGGTCTCTCTCTGTCCATTTACCTACCTGCAGAACACTGTTGTTCCAAGACTGTATATAACATTATTTACATCTATCCCCTTTAGCGCTTGCATTTGCCCTTTCTTCGTCTTTCATCATTCTTCTGCTAACGTCCCTATTCTTGTATATTGCCCTTTCCATCACCTAAATTAACATGTCTCTACCCTCTAGCCAAGGAGCTCTGGTAGCGTAGTGGTTACGAATCAGGCTGCGAACCGCAAGGTCGGCAGTTCGAAACTACCAGCTGCTCGGTGGGAGAACGATGAGGCTTTCTGCTCTTGTAAAGATTTACAGCCTTGTAAAGCCTGTTTCAGGGTGACTATTGGTTGGAACTAACACAACAACCCTCTAGCCAGTGAATTATTCTCCATTTTCTCCTACCTCTGGTAACCATCAAACAATGTTTCTTTTTGTATGGAAACCTTTTCTTGATTCGTTACAATAATGGTCTCATACATTATTTGTTCTTTTGTGATTAACAAAATTCACTCAGAATAATGTTCTGAGGTGCTTTGCAGATTCATCATTATTCTTCAACATTGCAAAGGATTCCATTGTGTTTAAGTTCCAAAGTTTGTTTATCCATTCTTCCACAGATGGGCATTTCCACGTTTTTGATATTGTGAATAGTGCTGTGATAAACACCAGTACACATGTATCTACTCATGTCCTGGCTCCTACTTCTTATGGAGACATACCAAGTAGAGAGATGCTGGGGCTTATGGTATTTCTCTTTCCAACTTTCTGAGGAAGTGCACTACTGATTTCCACAGGGGTTGAACAATTTCATAGCACCACCAGTAGTGCAGCAAGGTCAAAGTCTCTCCACACCCTTGCCAGTATTTGTTGTTTACTGGTTTTTTGTTTTTCTTTGAAAACTTTGCTACTAATGCTGGTGTGTGATATTACCTCACTGTTGTTTTGACTTGCATCTCTAAAAGCAGAGAATACCAGAAAAATGTTTACCTGTGCTTTCTTGACTACACAAAGGCTTTCAGTTTTGTGGATCACGACAAACTATGGATAACATTGCAAAGTATGAGAATTCTGGAATACTTAATTATACTCAAGAGGAACCTGTATATAGACCAAAAGGCCGTGGTTTGACAGAATAAGGGAACAACAAATGGTTTAAATGTAGGACACATGTGTGCCAGGGTTGTATTCTTTTGCCATACTAATTCAATCTATATGCTGAGTGAATAATCTGAGAAGCTAGGTTATATGAAGGAAAATGCGGTATCAAGACTGGAGGAAGGCTCCACAACAACCTGCAATATACAGATGATACCTGTTTGCTGAAAGTGAAGAGGACTTAAAGTACTTACTGATGAAATTCAAACACCTCAGCCTTTGGTATGGGTTGCATCTCAATGTAAATAAAACGAACATCCTTACCACCAGACCAAGAAACAACATCCATACAAATGGAGAAAAGATTGAAGTTGTCCAAAACTTCATTCTGTTTGGATCAACCATCAACATTCATGGAAGCAGCAGTCAAGAAATCAAATGATGTATTGCATTAGGCAAATCTGCTGCACAAGAGTTCAAGAACAAAGATGTCAGTTTGAGGCCTAAACTGCATCTGACCCAAGTCATGGTATTTTCAACAACCTCAGGCATGTGAAAGCTGGACAATGAATAATAAGAAAGACTGTTGAAGAATTATGCATTTGAGTTATGGTGTTAGATACAAAAATATTAAAAGTACCATGGACTGCCTAAGGAACAAACAGATCTCTGTTGGAAGAAGTGCAGCCAGAGTGCTCCTTGTAAGCCAGGATGGCCAGACTTCGTCTTTCATACTTCTGACATATTAACAGGA